ATGGGGGTCAATGAATCTATCTGCTGGTTAAGAACAACATTCTTTTTCTTTTGTTTAATGTTTTTATTTATTTTTTTAAATAGAGAGAGGAAGGGAGAGGGAGAGAGAGAAGCATCAATGTAAGAGTGAAACATCCATCAGCACACCCACTACTGGGGATTGAGCCCACAACCCAGGCATGTGCCCTGACCAGGAATCCTACGGGCAGCCTTTCCATTGCATGGAACGACACTCAACCAACTGAGCCTCACAGGCCAGGGCACGAACAACATTCTTTTTAATGGTCATTATTCTGTACCTCTCTTGATGAGCTTCACCACCATTGAGACTACCAGTAGTATCACACTGGTAGCAATTTCAGATTACAATGCACATCTGCCATCTACTGGTCATATCGGGGTAGTACTGTGAAACCTATGACCACACATTTTCATTTCCTTCAGAATCTTCTGGATTTGAAAGCTGGTAACTGGCTTGAGGCAGAAGGGACGAGCTCTCTGCAGTGTGTTTCTTTCTCTTGTAATCTGAGGTGACGAGAAAGAGTGGGCATGGCCCTGTGACAGGAGCAGAGAGCTGTGTGGATACCAAGAGGCCTCTTCCATGAGCTGTTGCTCACTATCTTGGTGTGGGAAGGTGGGGGAGCTAGTCAGAGCCTGGTCATTTAGGCTTTCTGACAAAAGCAGGATCTTTTTTGTTCTTATTTTTTATTGTAATTCTGGATGCTAACAGAAGTACATCTGGTGAACAAGGCTGACTTTTTCCAAAATGAAGCGGAACAGTTGAGACTTGCTCTGGTTTACATGCCAGTAATCTTTTACCCCCTTGTTTAAAGCTCCTCACGTTCCAAAAAGTACAGGATCTGATTTTCTGATTTCTGTCCAAGTATTTCCTGGATCTGAAGACAGCTTACGGGTCATGTGGGAAAGACTAGACTTACAAAACTTGGAATTTCACACCAAAAAGTTAGGCAAAGATATGGTGCAGGATGTGTGTTGCATGCCATTGGATCACATGCCATCATTAAGACTCAGAGGGATTAGAAACACACCAGAAGTTTATGTTCCGAGAAGTTGTGATCTTCAGTGGAAAAACTGACACATCATAATTGAAAAAGCTAGGAACTGCCTTCCTCATCAGAATAAACAGAAGTGACATAAACCTTCCAGAAAGGCCCGCTCTGTGAACCTGGTGGAATTGGCCACAGAAGCACTGTATTCTCCAATATATGCATTTTTTAAAAAAATTTTTAGCTGCCCCATGGGACTGGATTTAACCATAGTCATCTTTTTATTGAAGTGTGGTTTGTATGGGAACATGCCTCTTAACATTCCAGGGATCAACACAAAGTTAAAACAAACCAAACATCTCAGTACCTGCCAGGAGGACTCTATCTTTC